TTATATGTAAAGTTTCATATTTAAAAAAAGGTTCAAACTAATCGCAAAAATGTAGAGAAATCTAAATATACATTGATGTTGTGTGTGTGTGTGTGAGAGTGTGAGAGTGGGGATATGTATACATTGATGTTGTGTGTGTGTGTGTGTGTGTGTGTGTGTGTGAGAGTGGGGATATGTATACATTGATGTCGTGTGTGTGTGTGTGTGTTTACATTGGGGGGCAGCTGGGCGTATTTCTTCAGTCTGCTCCAAACCTCCGTCTGGAAGCTGCTGTCGGGGAAAACCTCAGAGACGAGTCCGAGCTCACACGCCTGCTCCGCTGAGAGCTTCTTGTTGAACAGCAGCATCTCACTGGCCTGCAGGGGATCATTACATCTTTAATGCATCATCAATACCACTTTATTAACACCTTAATATCAGCAATACCACTTTATTAACACCTTAATATCATCAATACCACTTTATTAACACCTTAATATCAGCAATACCACTTTATTAACACCTTAATATCAGCAATACCACTTAATTAACACCTTAATATCAGCAATACCACTTAATTAACACCTTAATATCAGCAATACCACTTAATTAACACCTTAATATCAGCAATACCACTTAATTAACACCTTAATATCAGCAATACCACTTTATTAACACCTTAATATCAGCAATACCACTTAATTAACACCTTAATATCATCAATACCACTTTATTAACACCTTAATATCAGCAATACCACTTTATTAACACCTTAATATCAGCAATACCACTTAATTAACACCTTAATATCAGCAATACCACTTAATTAACACCTTAATATCAGCAATACCACTTAATTAACACCTTAATATCAGCAATACCACTTAATTAACACCTTAATATCAGCAATACCACTTTATTAACACCTTAATATCAGCAATACCACTTAATTAACACCTTAATATCATCAATACCACTTTATTAACACCTTAATATCAGCAATACCACTTAATTAACACCTTAATATCAGCAATACCACTTAATTAACACCTTAATATCAGTTCACTAATTATTACCAGTCTCTTACCATGTTAATACCAGCTGATTACCAGTTTACTATCAAGTTAAAACTGTAAGGGAAACTTCTGCAGCAATGGAGAGTCAGGACTCAGAGAGACACGAGGAGAGCTGGAGCTCTGATGGAGTCAGGACTCAGAGAGACAAGAGGAGAGCTGGAGCTCTGATGGAGTCAGGACTCAGAGAGACGAGGAGAGCTGGAGCTCTGATGGAGTCAGGACTCAGAGACACAAGGAGAGCTGGAGCTTTGATGGAGTCAGGACTCAGAGAGACGAGGAGAGCTGGAGCTCTGATGGAGTCAGGACTCAGAGACACAAGGAGAGCTGGAGCTCTGATGGAGTCAGGACTCAGAGACACGAGGAGAGCTGGAGCTCTGATGGAGTCAGGACTCAGAGAGAGACACGAGGAGAGCTGGAGCTCTGATGGAGTCAGGACTCAGAGAGACGAGGAGAGCTGGAGCTTTGATGGAGTCAGGACTCAGAGACACGAGGAGAGCTGGAGCTCTGATGGAGTCAGGACTCAGAGACACGAGGAGAGCTGGAGCTCTGATGGAGTCAGGACTCAGAGAGACGAGGAGAGCTGGAGCTTTGATGGAGTCAGGACTCAGAGAGACACGAGGAGAGCTGGAGCTTTGATGGAGTCAGGACTCAGAGAGACACGAGGAGAGCTGGAGCTCTGATGGAGTCAGGACTCAGAGAGACGAGGAGAGCTGGAGCTTTGATGGAGTCAGGACTCAGAGAGACACAAGGAGAGCTGGAGCTCTGATGGAGTCAGGACTCAGAGAGACACGAGGAGAGCTGGAGCTCTGATGGAGTCAGGACTCAGAGAGACGAGGAGAGCTGGAGCTCTGATGGAGTCAGGACTCAGAGACACGAGGAGAGCTGGAGCTCTGATGGAGTCAGGACTCAGAGAGACACGAGGAGAGCTGGAGCTCTGATGGAGACAGGACTCAGAGAGACACGAGGAGAGCTGGAGCTCTGATGGAGTCAGGACTCAGAGAGACACGAGGAGAGCTGGAGCTCTGATGGAGTCAGGACTCAGAGAGACACGAGGAGAGCTGGAGCTCTGATGGAGTCAGGACTCAGAGAGACGAGGAGAGCTGGAGCTCTGATGGAGTCAGGACTCAGAGAGACACGAGGAGAGCTGGAGCTTTGATGGAGTCAGGACTCAGAGAGACGAGGAGAGCTGGAGCTCTGATGGAGTCAGGACTCAGAGAGACACGAGGAGAGCTGGAGCTCTGATGGAGTCAGGACTCAGAGAGACGAGGAGAGCTGGAGCTCTGATGGAGTCAGGACTCAGAGACACGAGGAGAGCTGGAGCTCTGATGGAGTCAGGACTCAGAGACACGAGGAGAGCTGGAGCTTTGATGGAGTCAGGACTCAGAGAGACGAGGAGAGCTGGAGCTCTGATGGAGTCAGGACTCAGAGACACGAGGAGAGCTGGAGCTTTGATGGAGTCAGGACTCAGAGACACGAGGAGAGCTGGAGCTCTGATGGAGTCAGGACTCAGAGACACGAGGAGAGCTGGAGCTTTGATGGAGTCAGGACTCAGAGAGACACGAGGAGAGCTGGAGCTTTGATGGAGTCAGGACTCAGAGAGACACGAGGAGAGCTGGAGCTCTGATGGAGTCAGGACTCAGAGAGACACGAGGAGAGCTGGAGCTTTGATGGAGTCAGGACTCAGAGAGACACGAGGAGAGCTGGAGCTCTGATGGAGTCAGGACTCAGAGAGACACGAGGAGAGCTGGAGCTCTGATGGAGTCAGGACTCAGAGAGACACGAGGAGAGCTGGAGCTCTGATGGAGTCAGGACTCAGAGACACGAGGAGAGCTGGAGCTCTGATTGAGTCAGGACTCAGAGAGACGAGGAGAGCTGGAGCTCTGATGGAGTCAGGACTCAGAGAGACGAGGAGAGCTGGATCTTTGATGGAGTCAGGACTCAGAGAGACACGAGGAGAGCTGGATCTTTGATGGAGTCAGGACTCAGAGACACGAGGAGAGCTGGAGCACTGACGGTTTATTTACAAGTCAACGGACTACCTTTTTTTCCTAAAGGAGCGTCTTTCCATGTCTTGTTTTGTGCAAGCAACAGGTGTGTGTGTGTGTGTGTGTGTGTGTGTGTGTGTGTACCTTGGCGATGCCCATGATCTTGGGGAAGGTGTAGGAGGAGCACCCCTCAGCGCTCTGCCCCAGCTGACTGAAGGGAGTGTGGAAGGTCGCCTGAAGGACAGAGAAAGTCATTATTAGAAAAATGATGTTCATTTATAAAAAATAAAAACGACAAAATACATTTTTATTAAAACGACCAAAATTGGAAAGAAATATTTTTTTAAAGCTTGAAAATATCTTGTGATCAACCAATCGGATTTTATTTACTTTAAATATCACAAAAAATGCAATTAATCTGATAACTGTGTGTGTGTGTGTCTCTGTGTGTGTGTGTGTCTCTGTGTGTGTGTGTGTGTGTGTGTGTGTGAGTCTGTGTGTGTGTGTGTGTGTGTGTGTGTGTGTGTGTGTGAGTCTGTGTGTGTGTGTGTGTCTGTGTGTGTGTGTGTGTGTGTGTGTGTCTGTGTGTGTGTGTCTCTGTGTGTGTGTGTGTCTCTGTGTGTGTGTGTGTGTGTGTGTGTGTGTCTGTGTGTGTCTGAGTATGTATGTGAGTATGTGTGTGTGTGTGTCTGTGTGTGTGTGTGAGTCTGTGTGTGTGTGTGTGTGTCTGTGTATGTGTGTGTCTCTGTGTGTGTGTGTGTGTGTGTGTGTGTGTGTGTGTGTGTGTGTGTGTGTGTGTGTGTCTGAGTATGTATGTGAGTATGTGTGTGTGTGTGTATGTGTGTGTGTGTGAGTCTGTGTGTGTCTGTGTCTGTGTGTGTGTGTGTGTCTCTGTGTGTGTGTGAGTCTGTGAGTGTGTGTGTATGAGTCTGTGTCTCTGTGTGTGTGTGTGTGTGTGTGTGTGTGTGTGTGTGTGTGTGTGTGTGTGTGTGTGTGTGTGTGTGTCTGAGTATGTATGTGAGTATGTGTGTGTGTGTGTGTGTGAGTGTGCGTGTGTGTATGAGTCTGTGTCTCTGTGTGTGTGTGTCTGAGTATGTATGTGAGTATGTGTGTGTGTGTGTGTGTGTGTGTGTGTGTGTGTGTGTCTGTGTGTCTCTGTGTGTGTCTGTGTGTGTGTCTGTGTATGTGTGTGTCTCTGTGTGTGTATGAGTCTGTGTGTGTCTGAGTGAGTGAGTGAGTGTGTGTGTGTGTGTGTGTATGTGTGCGTGTGTGTGTGAGTCTGTGTGAGTGAGTGTGTGTGTGAGTCTGTGTGTGTGAGTCTGTGTGTGTGTGTGTATATGTGTGCGTGTGTGTGTGAGTCTGTGTGTGTGTGTGTGTGTGTGTGTGTGTATATGTGTGCGTGTGTGTGTGAGTCTGTGTGTGTGTGTGTGTGTGTGTATATGTGTGCGTGTGTGTGTGAGTCTGTGTGAGTCTGTGTGTGTGTCTGTGTGTGTGTGTGTGTGTGTGTGTGTGTGTGTGTGTCTGTGTGAGTCTGTGTGTGTGTGTGTGTGTGTGTGTGTGTATATGTGTGCGTGTGTGTGTGTGAGTCTGTGTGAGTCTGTGTGTGTGTCTGTTAGGGGTGTAACGGTTCACAAACATTTCGGTTCGGTACGTACCTCGGTTTTTAGGTCACGGTTCGGTTCGGTACGTTTTCGGTACAGCAGAAAAAATTCTCACAAAACATAAAATATATATATATATTTTTTTATTATTATTAAACTGTGAACTCTAATACATAAAAAATATAACAAAAATGAACATAAAAGTGCAGCATTTCGATGAACTGAAATCTGTGCTTGAACTGTACTGTAGTACTCTGTTCGTAATACTAGTACTCAGACCTGAGCAGCCAGCAGATTGACATTAGCCGGCAGATTGCTTCTCATTGTATTTTCAGGTTTTTTTTTAGAAAAATTAACTTGTCCACATTGCTTGCTGAAAGGGCAGATCTGCTGGCACTAACAATGTCTCCTGCTGTGGAGAACACCCTCTCGCTAGGGACAGAGGTAGCAGATACAGCCAGGTAGCGCTTTGCCAACATGGCAACATGAGGATATTTGGCCTCATTGTTCTTCCACCATGCAAGTGGGTCGGAGTCCAGTGAAGTGCTGTCCGCTGCCATGTATGAGGTAACCTCTCCCTTCACCAGCTGCAAAGTGGGCTTGTTTCTCTCCTCAGTGTTGAAGAGCTCACCAAACAGTTCTGCCATGGCTGACTTCCTGATGGGAGGAGGAGGAGGAGGAGGAGGATGGGAGGAGGAGGAGGAGGAGGAGGAAGATTCTACAGATTCCTCTGGGTCTGCTCTCCCTGCGGATGACATGGCTCCTGCTGTCTCTGTGGCCTCCCTCTGCAGAATTAAATGACAGAAATAATGTTATATTTTACATGAGAGTACTATTCACATTGTAACAGCTATAACATGTTTCAAATTAAGCAAAAATTGAATTTATGCATAAGGAAATTAATTAATTGTATACCTGTTCTTCAATGGCCACAATCTCTGTGGTGAGACTGTTGTAGATGTGTTCACGGCAGGCATTATCCACATGAGAAAGGGCCTTGAACCTTGGATCTACAGCTGTGCATTTATGAAGAAAGTCCTGAAGAGCAGGGTCAGTGTATCTGTCCTTTAGGCTCCCTCTGATGGCAGCTTTGACTTCCTTCACAGTTAGACAGTCCTTCTCATTTGGTCCCATGGATTTAATCAGCATTGTTTTGAGAGGCAGGATCATTGAAACTGATGGAGTTGTTTCAGTGCACATCAGTGTTGTGATCGTTTTTAGGGGTTTAAGGACCTCAATTACCTCCTCTGCCATTCTCACATCCTGGTCACTCAATGTATTCATGTTTTTGTTTTTCTTGAGGGTCTTTTCTGTCAATGCTGAGTAAACAGCAGCTTGCTGCTCAAGATACCGCTCCACCATGTCATAACTGGAGTTCCAGCGAGTGGGGACATCATGGATGAGTTTGTGTTTTGGCACATTGAGCATCTCCTGTTTGCACTGCAATATATGTGCAGCTGTTGTGCTACGGTGGAAGAAAGACACAACACTCCTGATTCTGCCTAGCAGCCTGGACACCTGGTTGATTCCTGTTGCTTTTTGTGCAGCTAAATTAATTGTGTGAGCAAAGCATCCAATTTGGGGGCCCAGTCCAGCTTCACTGATTGCATTGACAATGTTTCTTGCGTTATCTGTTGTGACTGGAATTGTGTTACCTGGCCTCTCCAACTTCCATTCTGACACTACCTCCTTCAGTACCTCTGCCAGATTTGTGCTTGTGTGCTGTTCGTAAAGGGGGCGAGTTTGCAGGACGTGGCTTTGCATGTTCCAGTTGCAGTCGGGTGTAATGTAGTGCGCCGTTACAGTTAAATAACTCTCGGTGGCCCGAGATGTCCACCCATCGGTCGTTAGAGCAATAGAAGATGCCTTGGATAGGTCGTGGACAACTGTTGTTTTTACTTTATTGTAAAGTGCTGGTATCACTTCCTGGCTGAAGTGCGGACGAGAGGGAACCTGGTAACGAGGCTCGACCACTCTCAACATGTGTTTGAACCCATATTCTCCACAACGGAATATGGTCGCATGTCCGCTGCTATGAAAACACCTATGGCGTTTGTGATAGCTGTGGCTCGGTCGGAACTTTTTACGAGTGGTGGAGGCTTAAATGATAGTGGGAGTTGAGTTTGCACTTCAGTCATTTTTCGTTTGATACCGGTAATATTTACGTTCGGGTGATGTCTTTTCAGATGCGTGTGCATGTTTGTTGTATTGCCGGCCGCGTAACCAATGTGTGTCGAACAATGCCGACAAACAGCTTTAGTTCGGTCCACCTGTCTTTGTCCGTCATCGTTGTATGCAACTGCAAAACCATAATGTTCCCAAACCGGAGACTTTAATGTTGGTGGAGGATTTTCGAGCTCCACTTTCCCTGCGTTCGCCATTTTGAGAGTTCCTCAAATTACTGACTAAATTTGAACGCATCCCTGTGACCAGCTCTCATAGCATGTCTCTCTCGTCCAATGAAATTACTTGCTCGCTCTATGACGCGTTGAACCCAATGTGAGCAAATGACTCTGAATGCTGCGCCCGCAGCACCTGAGATTACTTCCAAAAAGTTGTTCACGTTCTAATTTTTTTACGTTTAACGTTATATTCGTTCGGTACACTTCGGTACACACCCGTACCGAACCGAAGTGCCCGTACCGAATAATTTCGGTACGGGTACGTGTACCGTTACACCCCTAGTGTCTGTGTGTGTGTGTGTGTGTGTGTACCCTGTCAGTGGCGTAGACCAGATCAAACAGTCCCATCAAGGTGACAGAGATACCGACAGCTGGTCCGTTAACGACGGCAACGAGGGGCTTCGGGAAGTCGATGTACGCCTTCACGAAGCTCCTGAAACACCACAGAAGAAGAACTGGTTACCACTATTTCATTCATAAATATATACACAAATATAAATATGTATATTCTCACCTGAGCAGGTCTCCTCCTTTTTGGGCCATTTCCTGCAAACCCCCCTCCGGGATCTTTGTGAAGTTAGAGAGATCGTTTCCACTGCAGTAGAAATCTCCAGCTCCTGCAGGGAACACAGTGTGAGAGAAATACGTGTGTGTGTGTGTGTGTGTGTGTGTGTGTGTGTGTGTGTGTACCTGTGATTACAGTGATGACAGAGTCGTCTTTAGCTGCCTGATCCAGAGCGGCGATGATGTCGTTGTACATCTGAATGAAAAGAGACATTTATCAGAGGAGAAGAGAGTGAGTGAGTGAGTGAGTGTGTGAGTGTGTGAGTGAGTGAGTGAGTGAGTGTGTGAGTGAGTGTGTGAGTGAGTGAGTGTGTGTGAGTGAGTGTGAGTGTGTGTGTGTGAGTGTGTGTTACCTCTGTCGTGATGGCGTTCTTCTTGGCTGGACGGTTCAGTTTGATGGTGGTGATTTTATCCTCCGTTGTGACCAATAGCGTCTCGTACGTAGCTCCGCCTCCAGCAGGCTCTGCAGCCAATGAGGCGGAAGTCCCGCCTTCTGCCGCCACCAGAGAGCCAATGAAGTCGCAGTACTGCTGCCTGGCTTCATCCTGAGGGACGGAGTTTAAAAAAAGGACATTTTATCATTTATTTTATTTCATCTAATTGCAGGAACCTGAACACCGAGACCTGACGGTGATATTCCCTGATAATGAATTAAATGAATCTGTGTTTTATTTGTGTATAGATGTTGCAACTACACAGAGCTTTAGCAATACTGTGTGTAACTATGGTCATGCTAATAAAGCTATTGAATTGATAACAGGTGAAAGCGTACCTGAGAAATGGAGCCCAGAGAATTCCACGCGTCCCATTTCACCTTGCCGACAAAATCCAGCATGCCGGGTTTGGCAGTGTTGCAGGGACCCTGAGAGGCCTGTAGGGGGCGATATGGAGCCACACGGAGAAACACAGAGAAGCCTTTAGCATGAGAACGAGCATGTTGCTGACATCACTAAGGAACACTCGGCTCCTATTGGCTCGTGCTCCAACACATTGTGATAGACTAAGAGGCGGGACATCTCTAAAGCTGGTTGACCAATCAGAGCAGACTGGGCTCTGGTTTCAGACAGAGGCTGAAAAGAGGTGCTGCAGCACAGATAGTATGAGAACAATAAAGAGCTTTTTGAACATTAGAGCATGGAGACATGTCCCAGGAGAGGAGACATGTCCCAGGAGAGGAGACATGTCCCAGGAGAGGAGACATGTCCCAGCAGAGGAGACATGTCCCAGCAGAGGAGACATGTCCCAGCAGAGGAGACATGTCCCAGGAGAGGAGACATGTCCCAGGAGAGAGGAGAGGAGAAATGTCACAGCAGAGGAGACATGTCACAGCAGAGGAGACATGTCCCAGCAGAGGAGACATGTCCCAGGAGAGGAGACATGTCCCAGGAGAGGAGACATGTCCCAGGAGAGGAGACATGTCCCAGGAGAGGAGACATGTCCCAGGAGAGGAGACATGTCCCAGGAGAGGAGACATGTCCCAGGAGAGGAGACATGTCCCAGGAGAGGAGACATGTCCCAGGAGAGAGGAGACATGTCCCAGGAGAGAGGAGGAGACATGTCACAGGAGAGGAGACATGTCCCAGCAGAGGAGACATGTCCCAGGAGAGGAGACATGTCCCAGGAGAGAGGAGAGGAGACATGTCACAGCAGAGGAGACATGTCCCAGCATAGGAGACATGTCCCAGGAGAGGAGACATGTCCCAGGAGAGGAGACATGTCCCAGGAGAGGAGACATGTCCCAGGAGAGAGGAGACATGTCCCAGGAGAGAGGAGACATGTCCCAGGAGAGAGGAGGAGACATGTCACAGGAGAGGAGACATGTCCCAGCAGAGGAGACATGTCCCAGGAGAGGAGACATGTCCCAGGAGAGAGGAGAGGAGACATGTCATAGGAGAGGAGACATGTCCCAGGAGAGGAGAGGAGACATGTCACAGGAGAGGAGAGGAGACATGTCACAGGAGAGGAGAGGAGACATGTCCCAGGAGAGAGGAGAGGAGACATGTCACAGGAGAGGAGACATGTCCCAGGAGAGGAGAGGAGACATGTCACAGGAGAGGAGAGGAGACATGTCCCAGGAGAGAGGAGAGGAGACATGTCCCAGGAGAGGAGAGATGTCACAGGAGAGGAGACATGTCCCAGGAGAGGAGAGGAGACATGTCGCAGGAGAGGAGACATGTCCCAGGAGAGGAGAGGAGACATGTCCCAGGAGAGGAGAGATGTCACAGGAGAGGAGACATGTCCCAGGAGAGGAGAGGAGACATGTCGCAGGAGAGGAGAGGAGACATGTCCCAGGAGAGGAGAGGAGACATGTCCCAGGAGAGAGGAGAGGAGACATGTCCCAGGAGAGGAGACATGTCCCAGGAGAGGAGACATGTCCCAGGAGAGGAGACATGTCCCAGGAGAGGAGACATGTCCCAGGAGAGGAGACATGTCCCAGGAGAGGAGACATGTCCCAGGAGAGGAGCTAAACACTATAATAGAGTATGTATCTTCACCTGTTTGAACAGAGCGTAGATTTTCAGCTTGGCTTCGTTTCCCGGGTCGTTTTTCAGCGTCGACATCTTGTTCTTCGCCTGCTCAAACTGCTCCACCGTCGCACCTACACACACACACGCACACACACATTAATTATGAGCACTAGACTATCAGTAATACTGAATACAATGATGCACATATGGTGAAGGTCACCCATGGTCGCAGACCCCGCGGTGTGGACCCTCAGGCTGGGAACGGAGGAGAATCTGCTCAAGCTGGAGACACGGGAACATGTTTACAGAACAGCTCTCAGAAAGGATTCATCATGTGTGTCAGCATGTCAGGATGCACTGATCTGTCTAGTGCTGGAGCTACCACTAGAGGGTGCTGTTGTTGTACAGCACATATATGGATATTACCAGCTAGTAGATATACATCTTATTATTCCCATACCTCCACCCAAAGTACATTTGATCTCAAATGATGTGTATGTCTCACTGTGTGGGGCTCACCACACCTTATGTACATACAGATTCGTGTTGCAGTAATGGATGGAGTAGCAGCCAGTAATAGTAGATTAAACAAGTGTTAAAACTCACAAGGAGAGCCAAGTTGAGAGAGGGTAACAGTTTAAGTCATTAAGGATCATGTTTTTTAGCATGTACAGCTTTGACGGCTTTGACAGCTAAAGTCAAGCAGCTACAGTTAGCTGCTAGGTGTGAACTTTGCTCCAGATTTACCTCCTTCAGTCACACCACTCATTCTGACTGTTGCTACACTGTTAGCACCGGCTAAGCTAACAGGTCAAATAACAAACATATTTAAAAAACACATTTATGATGCCTTTCTCTCATTGCTAACTAAGCTAAGCTAACTAACTAATAGCTTCACTCTTCCTAAAGTTTCATACATTACTTTGACCTCTAGATGTTAGCATTAATGCTTCAAACTCTCAGAAAACAACATCGTCATTTAGCTCATTGTAATCCTCACCTTCTTAGCTTCACAAAGCGCAGAGGAGCGGACAGCTTCAGGGCGACGCCGGCCATTTGAAGCCGGAAAAAGGGGTCCAACGTTCGGACGTGAGGAGGAAGGGAAGAGTTAACTAGCTTATTAGCGTAGCCACCATGAAGCTAACCGTTAGGTAGTGTTTACACCGCTGGCCCCGCCCACTTTCTCGTCTTCTGCTCAATTATTGGCTCAAGTAAAGCGCATGTGTCCAATGAAAGAAGGCTACGAAAACAAATGAACCAATTGGAGCACACGCTTTACGAGCAAGTCCCGCCTCTGTAGCTGTGCCTGGCCAATCAGCGTTGAGAACACATTGCTAGAAAGCCAGCTGGATCTTTTAGTGCCTTTTATTGTTCTTTTTGACTTTTTGACCCGCAAAATAACAACGTAAAAATAATGATAGGGTAATATTTGAATTCATTTAGACGTAAACAATCCACCTAAAGTACAAAACTGGAGAAAATTGATCTTTTTTAACCCCTATATATAATTTGATTGGCTCCATAAATACATTTTCCCCATTGACTTTTTTTGTTGGTGGTAGAAACAGCTAAATGAAAGCCCTTTAAATAAAGTAAAAAGTATTACAATTGTTGATTTAACTCAAACTTAACATAGCAAGCTGTCTTGGTGTATTTAACTGATTAATAAGTTGGTTTTTACCAAATTAAAATGACTAATTAGCTTGTTCTAGCACATTAGAGCTAAATATGACACATATTGTGATTATTTTCAGGTAGTTATTCTCCTGATTTGATGTTTTAAACAGTTGTAAACACATTTATAAGATAAATATTCACAACCCGGCCTTGTTTGTAACCTAATATAGTTTAAAACAGCTCAAAATACCCATTTTGCCTATGATTCTACATGAATTACCACATTAGTGAATATATTCAATGTTTAAAGTGAGGCAGCTTGGTCTATGTTAACTCTAATGGTGTATTAAGTTGTAAAAACCACATTTAATAATCAAATGTAACCAATAAATACCAGGTTTTCTTGTATAATATGAATTATGAAGATCAATGAACAATTCAACAGAAACAACCATTTTTAATGTTTTTCCACCAAAGCCGTGGTCTAAGTCGTACCCTGTAAAACAACAACGATATTTTACATCAAAATTCACATTTAACAACAAAATGCTACAAAACAAGATTTACAGACATTCATCGTGAGTCCTCAGTGTCTTTAGATGAAGCTGAGAGCAGAGGCGGTTAATAATTCATATTTAAGGCTCATATTATCAACATTAACTCGCTTTTTGTTTCATTTTACCCTAAAATAAGATCTTAAATCAGACCTCATGATCATTTTGACTTCTCTAATATCACACACTATTATTTACAGGTAATGATCATCTTCCCTAAGCATTTAGACGTGTATCTTTATGCCCAAATGTGCTGAACGACCCAATAATATCTCTGTTTTTAATGTAATTATTATGTTTTTGTCGTAGTAGTCAGGGTTTAGGGCAAACAGGGCAAAAGTGGTGTGTTTCTACGGGTGCTAACGCGCTAAAAAGCCCCAAAAATAATGCTTTTAACATCAAAACACGTCCTGAGCTTCTTGCAGCGTTTTATATTTGCATATTTTGAGTGTTTGCACGTGTTGGCCACCATATATTTCCATTTATTGTTTACGCACTTGACAAGAAGTCTAAAGTCATCTTTAACCATGTGCACATTAGAGGTTTATACCTGAACCTGAAGTATCATCATTAACCGCTCCTCAGCTTCTGTACATTTGCACCACCAGCAGCGACAAAGCAGTTTGAATTAGTGCGCAGAATATTAAGATTTTGGACTAGTTAGTACACATGAAAACAAAGCTTAACTCAAGGTGTTTCAAGTCTTTACAGAAGGTGGGATTCAACGGGGAATCTCCTGTGGGAACATCTCAACGTTTGGACGCTAAATGACGTTTATGATTACAGAGTGTATCAGTCCATCAGGGTACACACGCTCACAGAGTAGTGGATTCAAACCTGTGCAGGAGGCGAGAGGACGGATCTGTGAGGGGTTCAAAGCTGAGACGGCCGACGTAAACAAAAGGATATCATTTTCAGGATTTCATGGAATCAAATATCAGCTAACAGTTCAAAGAAGGGAGCTACGGAAGAGGATTAGGGACATTTTGTTTTTAGATGCGATACGATTTGAAATTCTGATATTAAATTCAGAAATCTGAGAAGCATTTATTTCTGACTTTATGGTGAAAATCTCAACGTTCTCTCAGATTTGTGACTTTTTTCTCTAAAATAAAACAATAATTCACTTCTGCTCGAATCTAAAAATCCTCCCCTCTTCTGTATAAAACACACATGCTTTCTTTTTACACTAAAATGTAATCATTTGGTGTCAAACAGCCTGACTTTACAGCCGTTTGCAAACCTTACATGAAGTGTTTCCACCTATAAATCATCCAGTAGCGTACAAACAGATAATGTACTAAAACACATCTGTAATCATTCAGTGTGTTAAAAAACTCTGTTGATGCAGATCAAGTTTTATTTAGCACATTTCTTAAAATTCTTTAAATGTGGATAATTGTTTTGTCACAGCAGTGTGGTCAAGCATTACACGAGTTACACATATTTAAAAGATACAATAAGAATCAAATATAATACAAAATTAGCACAAATTCACAATAGAAAGGACATAATGATGCATTACATTTTTTATTAGAGCGCTTTTACATAATAACTAGAGTATCTAAATCAAATCAAGTTGTATTTATATAGCACATTTATAAGCGATGTTTGGTGGAGCCAAAGTGCTGTACATATAATAAAAATAGCCTACAGTAGAGACACTTTACAGCAAATACAACACAGATTGTTCAGAATATCAGTATGAGAAAAACGACACCCTCTGTCCTTAGACCCTCTGTCCTTAGACCCTCTGTCCTTAGACCCTCTGTCCTTAGACCCTCACATCGTACAAGGAAAAACTTCCAGAGAAAACCCACAGTCCTCTCCCAGGACGGACAGACGTGCAATAGATCCTCCTCTCCACCAGCAGGGGGTGCTGCTGCGCCTGAAGAGTGATTACAGGAACATTGATTCCACCTCAGATCAGTGTTTTCTCTTAATTGCTAAAAGCTAATTAAAGGTAGACTTCTGAATTGATTCCTGCTGCTGTCGTCTTAAATCCTATCTGCACCTTTTCATCGGTTTGAGTCAGATCGTGTCCGAGGGACGGCAGAAAGGAAGAAGTATGTAGGGCTTCAATGCGTCTCTTATATGTTGTCCTCTTCACTCCCAAAGAGACCAATATGGACCGAGTAAAATCTCTAACTAATCTCTCTTCTGGTGACACTGAAGAGCTTTTAATGGCGCCAATAACGTAACGTAATGCCACGTAACGTCCAATAACGTCCAATAACGTAACATAATGTCCAATAACGTCCAATAACGTCCAGTAACGTCCAATAACATAACGTAATGTCCAATAACTTAACGTCCAATAACGTAACATAATGTCCAATAACATCCAATAACGTAACATAATGTCCAATAACATAACATAATGTCCAATAACATCCAATAACGTCCAATAACGTAACATAATGTCCAATAACGTAACATAGTGTCCAATAACGTCCAGTAACGTCCAATAACATAACGTAATGTCCAGTAACGTCCAATAACGTAACGTAATGTCCAGTAACGTCCAATAACGTAACATAATGTCCAATAACGTCCAATAATGTCCAATACCTTAACGTAATGTCCAATAACTTAAGATAATGTCCAATAACGTCCAGTAACGTCCAATACCTTAACGTAATGTCCAGTAACGTCCAATAACTTAGCATAATATCCAATAACGTCCAGTAACTTAACGTAATGTCCAGTAACGTCCAATAACGTAACGTAATGTCCAGTAACGTCCAATAACGTAACGTAATGTCCAGTAACGTCCAATAACGTAACATAATGTCCAGTAACGTCCAATAACGTAACATAATGTCCAGTAACGTCCAATAATGTCCAGTAACTGTTACGAACTTGGATACTCAAAGGTAAGGACTGAAATGCACGACCCTAGAAAGGCCACCTTTTCTACGTGGAACTCACACTTCTCTGCCTTGACATACAATTGATTTTCGAGTAGTTTCTGCAGAACCTGACGGACATGGTGAACATGGGACTTAGAGTCTGGTGAGAAAATCAAAATGTCATCAAGGTACACAAACACAGAAACATTCAAAAATTCCCGCAAAACCTCATTCACAAAACCCTGAAACACAGCCGGTGCATTACACAGTCCAAAAGGCATCACAAGGTATTCATAGTGACCGCTCTGAGTGTTAAACCCTGTTTTCCACTCATCCCCTTCCCTTGTTCTAACCAAGTGATATGCATTTCTTAAGTCCAGCTTGGTAAAAATCTTGGCAGTCTGAAGTAGCTCGAAAGCAGAGGACATGAGTGGCAGAGGATAGCGGTTTTTCACCGTAATGTCATTAAGAGGGCTGTAGTCTATGCAAGGTCTCAGAGAACCGTCCTTCTTTCCTACGAAGAAAAACCCCGCTCCAGCTGGGGAAGATGAAGGACGGATAATCCCTGATTTAAGAGAAGAGGAAATGTAGTCGTCCATTGCCGCTCTCTCTGGCCTTGAGATCGAATACAGTCTTCCCTTGGGAATGGGAGCCCCCGGTAAGAGATTAATGGGGCAATCAAAAGGTCTGTGAGGAGGTAGCGACATGGCTTTTGATTTGTTAAAGGCTTCCTTTAGATCGTGATAACATAACGGTACTTTCTGTAGGTCAGGATAGTCTGGGTGATCTATGACGATCCTACTAGGGTCTGTTGGTGCCTTAACAGAGCGTGAATGTTTACACCTGTTAATGCAATCCTCTCCCCACTCCTTAATTTGTCCTGAGTGCCAGTCAATGTGTGGGTTGTGGATTTTTAACCACGGAAAACCCAAAATAATCGGATGCTGAGCAGATTCAAAAATGTGAAACTGCATAACTTCAGTGTGGTCATTATTTACAGTGATCTGGATAGGTTCTGTGCAGTGGGTGACTGTAAACAACAAACGTCCGTCTAAAGCACTGGCGTTAATGGGGGAAGATAGAGGAACAGTCTTTATACCAAGCTGTTTGACTATGCCCCAATCCATAAGACTTTCGTCCGCTCCTGAGTCTATTAGCACTCCTTGGGCAATGACCTGATCATTAATACAAATGTTTACCTTGGTAACTGGTCGAGGAGGAAAGTCTGTGGGAAACTTGCTCACCAGCGCCCTCCTCTTGGCTGGTAAGCTTGCTCTTTTCCCGGACATGACGCGAGTTGGTGACCCGGCTGGCCACAGTAGAAACAACACCCTTCTCGTAGTCGGCGCTGTCTCTCCTCCATGGAAAGCCTGGTCCTTCCCAACTGCATGGGTTTATCTGCATCAGGCGGAGGTGCTGTCCTCCAACGGACCGAATCCGCTGGCTGGAAAACCTCCTCTGGTGGAAAGGCTCGTGGAGAAAAGACCTGGAAACTGGGATGTCCGTCACGGCTGCGTCGACGTTCTCTCTCTCTTTCCCGAAGACGGTTGTCGATCCGGATGGAAACGGCGATGAGAGACTCCAGGTCCCGGGGTACCTCCAGGGGAGCCAGCTGGTCATTGATTGGATCTGATAATCCAGTCAGAAAAGCGTCGCGAAGAGCCGGAATATTCCACCCGCTGTCCGCTGCTGCCGTGCGAAACTCGATAGCATAATCCACCACCTGGCGCTTATGCTGCCGCATCTGGAGTAGTTTTCGGCTGGCTTCTGTTGCAGGTGATGAATGGTCAAAAATACGACTCATAGTGTCTGTGAAGTCGGGTAATGAGTAACATAGTTCCGTGTCTCTGGACCATTCTGCAGTAGCCCAGGCTGCAGCTCTTCCCGTTAAATGGGACACAATGAACGACACTTTACCATGGTCTGATGAAAAAGCCCCTGGGTTGTGTTGGAAATGCAGGTCGCACTGCACCAGGAAAGCTCTGCAATTGATGGAATCACCGGAAAACCTCTCCGGGAGAGCCAGCCGTAGTGAGGAAGACACAGCCTGGCTTGGATTGACAGCGTCAACAGGATCCGCGACATGCAGGCGGTCAGCTGTGACTGACGTCATCGGCGGAGCAGTCTGAAGGTGAGTGATGAACTGTTGCATCTGATCCGTCAGCTGTCGTATCTGTGCAGAGACGGAAACTTGGAGTTCGGCCTGGTTTCCTACCAGTGCCTGCACTCCTTGGCTGATTAATCCCAGCTGTTCCTCGTGATGAAAAATCCTCGCGCCTTGGGCTGACAGGGCGGCGTGAAGAGCTTTTGGGTCGGCTGAGTCCATTGTGGTCAGTTCGTTCTGTTACGAACTTGGATACTCAAAGGTAAGGACTCAAATGCACGACCCGCGAGCCAGAGGTACTGTAAAGTATAATTAATATACTTTATTTCTTCCACAAAATATATACAAAAGAAAAACACTCTTACGAGGTGACAAAAAAGGGTCCAAAAAGATACAACAAAATATCGCTCACAACGTGAGGAATTAAACTTTCAATAAGTTCCAGAAGCATAACGTAGGTTTGACAAAAGAACCAATCGACGACGAGCAGAGTACTGGCATGAGGACAAGACAAGACGAGCTGACACTGGAGACTGGGGAATTTAAACACTCAACAACAAGACACAGGTGAACACAATCAGGGGCGGGGCTGACACTGATGAGGGCGGGAGAACACATGAGGGCGGGAGAACACATGAGGAAAGGGAGAACACATGAGGAAAGGGAGTCAAGGGACCTGAAATGAGACGTGACAAAAACAAAACAGGAAGTGAAAAACAATACAACATAAACATGAAACATGACTGACTAACACTTTTGACGGTGCACAACAGTAACGTCCAATAACGTAACGTAATGTCCAGTAACGTCCAATAACGTAACGTAATGTCCAGTAACGTCCAATAATGTAACATAATGTCCAGTAACGTCCAATAATGTAACATAATGTCCAGTAACGTCCAATAATGTAACATAATGTCCAGTAACGTCCAATAATGTAACATAATGTCCAGTAACGTCCAATAATGTAACGTAATGTCCAGTAACGTCCAATAACGTAACGTAATGTCCAGTAACGTCCAATAACGTAACATAATGTCCAGTAATGTCCAATAACGTAACGTAATGTCCAGTAACGTCCAATAACGTAACGTAGTGTCCAATAACGTCCAATAACGTAACGTAATGTCCAGTAACGTCCAATAACGTAACATAATGTCCAGTAACGTCCAATAACGTAACATAATGTCCAGTAACGTCCAATAACGTAACGTAATGTCCAATAACGTCCAATTCTGGGATTTAGTTCCTGGGAAACTCAATGAGAAACGGTTAAATTAAATACTCTCAAGCTGCCTCAAATCTCCACAGTTTGAAGCGTTGCTAACCGTTAGCGTACGTTAGCTTTGTTTAGTGACGCCCCCAGGTATTCCAGGTTCTCCGTGGCCGGCAGGAAGTGGGCGTTTGGCGGCAGGAAGTCAGCCTGATAGTCTGGATTATCGAGGCTGTCATTGGTCGTCAGAGGCAGAGAGTTCTGGGCGGTGTTCAGGTATTCTGGTCCCCCGGAAACAGGAGAGAAGGGCTTCAGTTCCACACAACCCCGACTCAGGTCCTCGTAGTTCGGGTTCAAAACCTGGTTCATGTACTCTGAAACACAAGGGAAATATACAGGTGTTTATCAACTTTGTTTACTTCCAGAACATGGTGACATCACTATGTAACACTCACTCTCCTATTGGCTAGCGCTACAACACATTGTACGTGATTAGGCTAATGGTTTTTTGTTTAGATTTGATTGACTTTATTGATGTCTTCAACACAGCAGCATGTAAACAAGGCATCGCACATCAACAACATTTCATGTGTTTGTTTATTTCATCATTTAAATTTCTTCATCATACTTTTGACTATTTTCTCAGATTTTGTAAGGGCTCTTTGTTTATTAATGTGCATTGCTTAATAAATAAACATTGTCTTTAGTCCTCAGGTGTGTACCGTGTCCAGGGAAGTCTTCTCTCTCCTGATTGGTCGTTGGGTCGATGATGTAACGCAGAGCGATGCTGTTCTCTCTCACCGGGCGTCCGTTCTGATAGGAAGAAGGAAACATCCATTAGAGTGTGTGTGTGTGTGTGTGTGTGTGTGTGTGTGTGTGTGTGTGTGAGTGTGTGTGTGTGTGAGTGTGTGTGTGAGTGTGTTTGTGTTTGTGTGTGTGTGTGTGTCAGGCCCAGCTCCAGGATGAAATGACTGAGGGGGCTGTTAAAAAATCAGAGGGGGCGATTTTTTTTCTCACAACAACGAAAAATACTGGCAATGTAATAAATTGACACACCGAGACTAATATATAAACCAAATGTAATATTGGATCAAACACTTCACCAAATGGAGAGACGCAGATTAAACATGAAGTCCCCTGGTTTGTCTCTAGAGTCTAACTGCCATGAGAACAATCAGATCAATGTTCCACAATCCGTCACTAGATGTTGCTCATTGCACCGATACGGTTTATATAATAACATATTATTCTAGTGAAAGGGCTCTTTGGCAAAAGCCTGATCCCTACAGGCAGCCCTCAATAATAACAGGTAACCATCACGTGTGGTGCTTTCTGTAGATGTCTGTCTTATCTTTTGTTGATGTCATCTTGTTTCCACAGAGCTGTGAACATGAATTCCCCCTGCGGACAATACATCTAAACTCATTTAATATTCAATCCCACACTTAGCAATGGAGAACATACATTCGTAACTTACCTCGTTTAAAGCACTTTTGTTGTAATACTATGGATTTAGTTGACACTACTATATTTACTACTATATTTCACGGGCAGGTACATTGAATTAGAAGAAGAAGAAGAAGAAGAAGAAGAGGTAGAACAAGAAGTTGTAGAAGAAGAAGTTGTAGAAGAAGAAGTAGAGGTAGAAGAAGAAGTTGTAGAAGAAGAAGTAGAGGTAGAAGAAGAAGTTGTAGAAGAAGAAGTAGAGGTAGAAGAAGAAGTAGACGTAGAAGAAGAAGTTGTAGAAGAAGAAGTAGAGGTAGAAGAAGAAGTAGAGGTAGAAGAAGAAGTAGAGGTAGAAGAAGTAGAGGTAGAAGAAGAAGTAGAGGTAGAAGAAGAAGTAGAGGTAGAAGAAAAAGTAGAGGTAGAAGAAGAAGTTGTAGAAGAAGAAGTAGAGGTAGAAGAAGAAGTTGTAGAAGAAGAAGTAAAGGTAGAAGAAGAAGTAGAGGTAGAAGTAGAGGTAGAAGAAGAAGTAGAGGTAGAAGAAGAAGTTGTAGAAGAAATACGCTCACGCTACAAAAGGCACAACACTGTTACTCTGTCGCTCTATTTTTTTTAAGCACATTAAAAAACGGGAACATCTTCGGGACTCTGCCCGGAAAACGGGGACGTTTGGGT